CTATACTGAATTTGGGCATAACCCCTGGGGCAGGTTGGAAGTCTTGCCCCACTAGAATATTGGCTGCATGCATCCTGGGCCCTTTTCTCCTCCAGGTGGTGGATCTGCATCACTATAGATCTATAGTTCCCATTTTCTTTTTTTGCAGTTTGGGGATTGAAGATTGATCCCATGGCCTTTACACTGGGATGCATTTTTTTTTTGGTTTTTTTTTGAGACAAGGTCTCACTATGTAGTTCAGGTCTGCTGTTACGGTCTACTTTTACGGTATGTAATTCAGATCTGTTGTTATGTTATGACTGTCCCCTCAAAGTCTCACGCAGTTATGGGGAGTGGGCTTTTTGAAGGCAGTTAAATTTAGAGTTTGTGATTGGTTCGATGTGTATTGCTGGGATTGGGAGTGTGAGCACTACACCTGCCTTAGGGTGGGTAACCTGCATAACAAAGGAGGAAAGAGGCTTGTTCCTCCTTTTTTTTTGTACTGGGAATTGAAGTCATGGCCTCATTCTTGCCTTACAGGCACTTATATCACTGAGCTAAATCTCTGTTCCACTCTTCTTCATCTTTTGTGCTCACTGTTTTTTGCTGTCTTCCACCACCATGAACTGTTGCTCCTCTGCCATGTGCTACTCAACATGGGGTGTCAGGTGTTTTGTCTCAGCAAAGAGAGAAAAGTAACTAAGACAGCGTTTGGTACCAAGAGTGGGGTTGTTGCTGTGACTATACCAGACATGTGGGTCAAGAGCCTTTGGAAATGGCTTGTGGGAAGAGATTGGAAAGGTTTGGAGATACTGGCTTAAAATAGAGCTGGAAGGGCTGGGGATTTAGCTCAGCGGCATAAGCACCTGCCTTGCAAGTATACAGTCATGAGTTCGATCCCTGGCACCACCACCACCAATAACAAAACAATAAAATAGATCTGGGACACCTCAGGCAATTCTGTGTGGAAGATTCCATTCAGAGCTTGGAAGACCAAAAGGCTTATATAAATGCTGCCAGTAAATACCAGGCTCAGGAGGTTTCTGCTAGGAAAAAGTACTGCATTAGCTGTTGGATTCCAGACAACGTATGTTATGGCTTGGAAGAAAATTGTTCTGCATATTTCTTGTGTCCAGAGACTTGCATGAGACTGAAATTAAGGATGATAGACTAATAAGTCTGCCAGAAGAAATTTCAAGGCAGTTGAGTGTTGTTGGGGTGGGAACATGACTATTGTTAAGGACTTTTAAAGAGCCCAGAAGAATGATTTAAAACATTGTGAATTTGGCTAAAAAGGAAGCTCTAGTCGGTCTGTGAACTGCAAAGACAGAGCTGAGAAGATCTTGGTTGCTGAGATGAAACATAAGAATAAAAAATGTGGCCTGAGAGTATCACAAGAAGCAGCAGTACTTTGCCCTCTACAGCCTCAAAATTGCAAAAATGAAAGATTTTGCTTTAAGCCAAAAGTCAAGGAACACCATGTTCCAAAATGACGGCAGCCGGCACCATATTCCAGAATGGCAACAGCATAGAAAATTTGTTCCTCAAACATGGATTCAAAGTTTCAGCAATCCAAGCACTTGATACCCACCCCAAGAGAGAAGACGACTGCTCCAGTCTGCAGCAGACCTTGGCATCATCCATGTAGTGCTGCTTTTAGGTGCAGGAAAAATACAAGAGTTATGGGGTTAGGAAGGCTTCCACCCCAAATCCAGAAGGTCTGGGAGGCCACGCAGTGTGCTCAGGAGAGGACCGTGTGTAAAGCTGTGAGGGAAAGCTAAAGGTGCAGTGGATACTGCAGAAGTTTGGAAAAACCAGGAATGCAGGTCAAATTAAAAAATCTGCCAGGAGGGGGCAAAGTGGGCCTAAAAGCGAAGCCATGGGAGCTACAACCACCAAAAGTGCTGTCGTGGTGGAGTTAGAGTCACCCGAGTCCTCTGAAGCTCACGTCTTGCTGCTGATTGTCTTGGATGCTACACATGGAACTGCAGTACTTAATGTTTGCCCTGCTGGATTCCCATTCCTTGTATCCATTTGAAACTTTTGGAATGGAAATGTTTATCTTGTGCCATTAAATGTTGGACGTGTTTAACTTTCTTTTCTTTTGTAGAAGGGCTTACAGCTAAGAGTTTATCTGACATCTTGTAGGAGACTTGAAACTTTGACTTTTCAGCAATGCTGAAACTGTTAGGACTTTGACAACCTTTAAGAGACAGACTAAATGCCTTTCTATAAGGGATGTGCGTGAGTCTGGGGGGCCCGGGGCAGAATGTTGTGGCTTGCGTCCAGATATCACCCAAAGGTTCCTGTGGTGATGGAGGCTTTTGGAGGCAGCTAAATGCAGTTTGTGATTGGGAGTGTGAGTGTGACATTGCCTGCATACAACATAAGGGAGCAAAAGAGGCTTGCTGTCCCTCTTTTGTGCTCATTATTTTTGCTGCCTTCCACCACCGTGAACTGCTGCCTCTCTGCCACGTGCCACTCTGCTTTGGAGCCAGTCAATTACGGACTGAAATGTCTGTAAGCTGTGAGCTAAGTAAGCCTTTTCCTCCCTTAATTTGATCCTCCTGCCTCAGCCTCCTGCGTGATGGCATTACAGGTGTGTACCACCCTGCTGAGCTCACATCACCAGCCTTTTACTTTTTAAATTATTTCTTTCAGACAGACTCTCATTACATCAGTAAACTATCCCAGCTAGGTTCCAAATTGCAATCCTCCTGCCTCACCCTCCCAGGGAATAGAAATTACAGGTGTGGGCCACCATGCCAGCCTTAAGGTCTCATCTTGATCCTGTGACTCTTCTGACCTCTGAAGAGTCAAGGCTCACCCCATTCCGGTGATCCCCTTCCCGCTCCTCTGACCCCGTGACTCATCTCATTCCATTCCTTCTGGGCCCTCCCTATGTCAGTAAGAACTCTCCTTCAGGAAATTGTCCCATTCTCCTTCTGTAGTCGCCCCCAAATTCACACTTTCAAAGGGACACACGCTTAGCTGGATGTGGTTTTGCATGATAAAAACCCCAGCATTCTGGAGGCTGAGGCAGGAGGATTACCAGGAGTTAAAGGCCAACTTGGGCTACATAATGAGGTTCAAGGCAGGCCTGAGCTACATTTTGAGACCCTATCTTAAAAAAAAACCCAAAATAAATAAAATGGACACATCCTTCCCCAGCTACTCCCAGTTTAGCAAGTGCATTTCCAATATCACTGCTATTTCTACTCTGGATGTCACTTACAATTAAAATGTAAGGATAATCACTTACCATTATATCCTCTTTCAGTTTACAAAGCTCTTATTATCTCTCTTGATCTGCCTAGCATCTGTGAGAAGTATATTTTCCCCCATTTTACAAATAAAGAAAATGAGGCTTGGAAGGGCACCGCCAGTGTGCTGATCACATAGTAAGTGGCAGACAACAGTCTTAGCTTCTGGTCTTTGCTTCCCACATGTGAGAAGCAGCTTAGATGTTCTATAATGTAAAAAATCCAACATGGAAGCTCCTGCTCTCTCTTTTGGAAAGATGCAGTAAGTTGCTTAGAACTACTTTGATTGGAAGTTAAAAATGATACTAATTTAAACTGGCTTAAACCAAAGGTGATTTGATTGACACCCTTTAACAGAATGGTGCAGGTATGGTTGGATCCAGGTTCCCAAACTGGTCTCAGAACACTCCATTTCTCAGCTTCCTTTGTGTCTACGTTATTTTTAGAGCACCTCCTGCGTGGGATCTCAAAGATGAGATGAGGTGAGCCATCGGAGAAGGAATGCCTCTTGTTGAACTACCGTTGTCCTCCTGGGTGTCGTTCTACTACTCCGCCAAGGTGAAGGACCAACCCAGGACCCTCACGGTGCCAACACAAAGGGGTATTCTAATCGTCCAGGCCTGACCCTTACACCTGAGAAACATTTGGTGTGTGTTCTACCAAAGGAGAACCTAAGCCAGCAACAACACTTTGTCAGAAGTGGTGTGGGCCGATCTCCACAGGCCTGTGCTACACGCAGAGAGGAACAGAGGGCCCACCTCAGTAAGAACCCTCAGTGGACCGCCCCAGGCCCTACTGAGCTTAGCAGCAGAATAAACAGTAAAGAGGAGGAGCTGGGTATGTTCCAAGCGGGAGGCTAAACTCCCTAGAGCTGCAGCCCCACCGCCTGTGTCCTGCTGTACTGGCCCTAAAGGTCCTCACACGTCTTTGTGGGATTAATGTACTGGCCGGTCAGCCTGACTGGCAGGGCCAGGCTCCCTCTCTGTGATCTCTAAATGGCACCTGGGGACTCTCTCCCCTGTCCTCCACCTGCAGACACAGGGATCCAAGGGCTCTAGGGCCGCCAGGATACCCTCTCTGCGAGGAGAGGGACGAGGAGACCAAATTCACAGTGTGTTCGGGCGAAGGCCTGAGCCCAGAGTCCAGGGGAAGACGGAAGATGAGGCTTGACGGGTGGCATTAGGGTCATATGAAACCCACTCGTGTTAACCGTCACCATCGCTTCTTAAAGGAGTCTTTATACTAAGGAGGAAGTTTTTCCAGGAAAGCACTCTCCTCTCACCTAGAAAAAAAATCATTTGGTAAAACTCTTTTTTAAATTTCAGACTGATGCAACTTTCCGGAGCCCTGCGTGGGGTCCAGGGCTTGGGACCCACTCGCGAGGGTCGTCACGCACGCGCACGCGCCTGCACCCGTGCAGCGGGCTTCACGCGAGAGCGCGGGGCGCAGGGTCACAGCGCGCCTGGGGTCCCGCCGGCCGACGGCGCCGCTCGCGGGCACCCTCCCGCCACAGGGGGGGGGCGCCGCCGGTTTGGGGGTTCCCTCCCCGGTCGGCCTTCCCGGGGGGCCCGGGTCCTCCCGCCCGCCGCGCCGTCCCGGGCCTGCGCGGGGGACCCGCCCGCCAGGCAGCGCAGGGAGTCCCCGTAAGGCGGCCGCCGCCGGCCGGGGAACCCCCGACCACGGCGCCCCTCCCCCTGCGCCGCGGGCGCGCGCTCGGCCGCGCGGAGGGAGCGGGCACGCGCCCGGCGGCCCGGGGACGCGCGCAGCGCAGCAAGATGGAGGCCGCGCGGAGGCCGCCGCCTGGGCCGGAGCAGCCGCCGCGCCCGGACACGCCGCGCCCCGGCGCCTAGGCCGCGCCCGCCGCCCGCCGCCCGGCCCAGGTGGGTCCCGGCCCCGCGCGGCGCAGGGCCTCCGGCCGCGCCCGCCCCCGCCCCAGCCCTCCGAGCCCGGCGCCCCGCGCGCAGCCTCGGCCCCCGCCCGGCCCCGCGCCCCCCAGCGGCGCCCGCGCAGACCCCGCCGGCCCCGCCGACCGCTCCCGCGCTACCCCCGGCCCTGCGACCTGGCTGCCGGCCGCGGCCGCGCCGGAACCCTGCCGCCCCAGCCTCCGCGGCCCCTCCAGGCGCCGGTGGATCCCCGCCAGCCCCACCCCCGACACCGCCCACACCCGGGCCCCGCGCCCCGCGCCCCGCGCGGCCCCGCCTCGCGGCCCTGACTCGGCCTCTGCGTGCGTCCCCAGCTCGCGCCTGCGGCCGGCTGCCGGTCCCGCCCCTGGCACCATGCTGCCCTCGCAGGAGGCCTCCAAGCTCTACCACGAGCACTACATGCGGAACTCGCGGGCCATTGGCGTGCTGTGGGCCATCTTCACCATCTGCTTCGCCATCATCAACGTGGTGGTCTTCATCCAGCCCTACTGGGTGGGCGACAGCGTGAGCACCCCCAAGCCTGGCTACTTCGGCCTCTTCCACTACTGCGTGGGCAGCGGGCTGGCCGGCCGCGAGCTCACCTGCCGGGGCTCCTTCACCGACTTCAGCACCATCCCGTCGGGCGCCTTCAAGGCGGCCTCCTTCTTCGTGCTGCTCTCCATGGTGCTGATCCTCGGCTGCATTACCTGCTTTGCGCTCTTCTTCTTCTGCAACACCGCCACGGTCTACAAGATCTGTGCCTGGATGCAGCTCTTGGCAGGTAGGGGAGGCCGGGGCGGGGCTGCTTCCTGAAGGAGGCAGGGGGAGGTGCTGCTCCTCCGAGCTGAGACACTCACTTCCCTGGCGACCCTGATCAGCTCCTCGAAGGAGATTCCGTGACAGATGCTGTGGAGCTGGGAACAGAGCCTTAGAATTGGGTATCTGAGCCCCTGTGCTTGGATATGGGCAGACTGCCCTTGCTGCTGGGTTAGCATTATGTTAGCATCTACACTGGTCTCTGTTGTCCGTATTTGTGGAAATGTGAATGAGGCATAACTAGGTATAATTAATTTCTGTTACACAGGAAAAGGCATGAGAAATTGAGGTCTGGCTTGGACCTTTAACTCACTGTGACATCGTCAACTTGGGTGTTTCACTTTACTTGTCTAAGATTTGGTTTCCTCATCAGTAAAACAGCCGAGAGGATTACAGAGCACGAAGGAAGGAGGATCTGGTAAACTTTAAAGTCTTGTGATGAGGGGTGTCTATTTAAGCTTGGGCAGTTGGTAACTCCTGACAGTGTGGCCTTTAGAGAGCAGGTCTCTGCCCCTTCACCCCTCCTCCATACGCAAGAAGATTCTGATGCCATGCCCACTGTGCATGGATCCTTGAGACCTTCTGAAATGTGCAGCCCAGAAGTCCTCCTGCTCTGAGAGTCAGTGAAAGGCCATTGGGAGTGAGCAATGCTGAAGCAGGTTTCCAGGGTCCATGAACATCCCCTGCCCCCAGCCACCATGCCATCAGAGACAGATTTTGAGGACTCGGCAACTCGGGCATTGCTAGCTATAGGCAGGGAGGGGAGTTGGACTGGGAAAGTGGGGCCAGGGGATGGCAAGATGGTGAAGGGTGAGGAAAGTCTGGGTCACTCTGGGGATGGGAAAGAGGAACAGATATGGCAACCAGGCATCAGAAACGTCTTTTACAATCAGCGCCTCAGAACAGTCCACAAGTACTGAGCTCTCCAAAGATACCCCTGGAGGAGGTGCTGTATCACTTGCTGGTCACTGCACACCCCAGAGCATTGCAGGGAGCTGGCCCTGCAGCATAGAGTGAGCCCCTTGGTCACTCCCATTGGGGAAACCTCCATCTTTGGAAATGATGGGGTGACACTTGGGGTCAAGTGTCAAGAATATGAGCAACCAACCCAAGAACTGTCACTTGTGATGAAAGCCACGATGTAAAGTTAAAGTAATGGGCCTGGTGTGCTTACCCAAGGGAACTTGCACACATGTCCAAGGAATCACACCCCATTGGAAGGACTCAGAATCTTGAAAGAACTTCCTGAAAAAGGCAGCACGGATGCACACATGAACATCCAATGGTGTACTGCAAATCCGTCTCACCTCAATTTCTGTGGGGATCTTTCAGGTTCTTTGAAGGGAGAATGATTGTAGGGTGTGAAGGATGCCTCTCTCCACCTTTCTCCGTGGTCTCCAGAGAGATGATAATGTGCATTTCAATTCTGTTTTTCATCTAAAGTCAAGTTGGAAAGATATTCTCAGCTGGAGTCCCCAGCTCATCCTAAATTTGGAGTCTGCAGATGGGTTTCTGACCTCTTAGCCTTCAGATTCTCTGTAATCCCTGTGGATTTAATCTTAGCGATTTGATGAAATGTAATCATTGAATGCCAAAGCCTGTAGCCATTAGCTCCTTCCAATTCTGCATTCCTCTCACCTCTGTGAGAAAGGAAACTGAGTGTAGAGAGTGAAAGCTCAGTGAGCCTCACGTAGCTAGTAAGGGGGGACCTGAACCGGAGGCCCCAGGATTCCTGACGTTGGCCTGAAGCACTTTCCTGAGATTTGAGGATCAGAGCTGCACAGTTTATTTTGCTTAGAGATCTCTGAATTCTCTGGATTAGTGTCTGATTTACTTTGCCTACTAACGTGGCACGGGACAGGGCCCAGCGCCCTGGGGTGGGAACAACCGCTCATCCCTCCCATGTCTCACCACACAGTAGTGAGACTTTTTAGTTAAAATCTCAGTTTTTCTCTCCGTACAGCGGGGTCTCAGGGGTTGGACTAGTTGACTGGAAGTGCCCTTTTCAACCTTAGGAGCTTCTCACACCATTCTTTCCCCAAGTCCATTCCATGAGAAAGTGAGTGTCATCTTCCAAGGAAGTGCAGAAAGGCAAAGGGCTTGGCGTGTGTGTCTTGTGAGAATCTGAATGCTGCCATGTGGTTCTTATTTCTGTGAACTTTTATTTAGGTATCTGAGTGCAGAATACTGGAGCACTGGGAAAAGACAGAGAAATGTTTTTTCTTTGTTTATTCCACACTGTTTGGTGATCACACTAGTGGTGGGCGCTGCAGTATTACCATACAGAAGACAAGCTGACCGTCTAGCTGGGTCACTGTGTGGATCAGCAGTCTTCCAGTGATAGTGGGCAACTCGGTGTAAACTGGCTTACATACATGAAAATAAAATACAGCGTAGAGTTTTGGATTCCCAGTGTGAAGCCATAAACATGGAGAGATTGAGATGCTCAAATAATGTCACGAAGAATCTGTCTGGCTCTATTTTTGATTCCTGTTGTTCGCTCGTGTTAAGTTCACATCCTTCTTAACAGTGACGAGGCAATTGGCAGCTCTGGACTTATGTTGCTTTGGCTTACCAATGCCTATGGGAAAGCACGCTTCCAGCAGAGTTGGAGTGTTGGCCAGCATTTGCCGAATGCCCACTTTTTTTTTTTTTTTTTACTGGGGATCAAACTCAAAAACTCATGCTTGCCAGGCAGGTGCTTATACCGCTAAGCTAACTTCCTGGGCCTTGCTTTTTTCATTTTTGTAGTAGGGTTTGAACTCGTGGCCTCCATACTGAATACATCTCAGCACTTGCTACTTGTTGAGACAAGATCTCATTCAGTTGCCCGAGGAGGACTCAAACTTGTTAACCTCTGACCTCAGCCCCAGAGTCCTGGGATTACAGGGCACTAAACGGCACCCAGCTGCCAAGGTCTACTCACAAGTCATGGTGATGTGGTCTAAGGCCTGAGCCAGGTGCCCTTATCAGACAGTGGAGAAAGGTCAGTTCCCACAGAAGTATATTAAGGATGATGACCAGGAGAGGGCCACTGTGGATAAGGAGACTGCTGTGCTATACCTGTTGAGGTGCTGAGGAAGTCCAGAACAGCCGGGGACACAGCCTGGAGAACATGAGGCCATGCCAACAGTATGCAGTGTGTGAACTCTGACTGGAGACGGAGGTCGTGGTAGGGAGGCAGAGGGAAGGAGGCCGCTTGGGCTTGAGTGGGGGACCCAAGGAGGAGAGCAGCAAGGGAAGACAGGAAGGGTTAGAAGGAATGAGAAGGGCCGCGGTGTGCTGGGCCGAGGGGTCTGGACTTCAATCTGCAGGCAGTCAGAAATGACTGTAGCTGTTACTGTTACTCAAGAGAAGCGATTAAAGCATTCTGAGCCCTTATTGCATGCCGAACATTTGACATGCAGAATGTTGTTTAATCTTTAAGGGAATGCAGTGGAGTAGGTAGCATTATTCATATTTCATAGTTGAGAAACAGAGCCTCAGAGGGGAAAGTCTCACGTGTCCAAGCTCTCACGGATGTGAGCAGTGGGGCCAGGACTGTGGCTCAGTCTGCCCAGTCAGAAGCCTGAGTCTGAATTCAGCCAGCACCGACAGGCAGGACAGCAGAGGTTGTCCCCTCCAGGATGCTGAGTGATGTGGACAGAGTCGGTGGCTGTCTCTGGAGCGGCTCGCCTCCAGGGCAGCTCGGCGACTGTTTCCCTGGTTGTGCATGTTGACTGTGGGCAGGAGGGGTGCCAGCTTCTGTGCCTCACTTCCCATCACATGGCCCTTAGAGGAGGGAACTGAAGCTCAGGGTGCGTCCACATGGCTCTGACCCTGTTCCTGACCCTGACTTCAGCAGAATCCAGAAGCGAATTCACAACCACTGATCATGGCTGAAGCTCTGTGTGTGGGCACGGGGCTTGTGAGGTCAACGAGGGCAGAGCCCTCCTGGGCACAGTCGCAGCTGCAGCCTGGTGGGGCCGAGGGCCGCCTCTCTGCCGTGCGCCCTTGGGTTAGTGTGCCTGCCCCTCAAACCTGTGTCCTCATCCTGGAGTCACTGAGAGCTCTGAAAGGTTCTGTGTCCTGGCCTCGAGTCACTTGGAGCACATCCTTCTTCCTCTGCGTTTGCTTACGTCTTGTTTCAGATTGGCTTTGGGATTTTGCTTATCCGGTAAAGCTTTACTGTATGTGCGTGATGCTGCTAAGAACACCGAGGAAGACTCTCTCCTCCTCCTGGCTCTTCCTGCCTCCCTCCCTGATTTATTTTCTCACCCCTTCCTGGCTTCTTTCCTCTCTCCTCCCTCCCTCCCTCCCTCCCTGTCTTCCTTCCTGTCTTCCTCTTCCCTTCCCGTCGCCCTGCATTTTTGCTCCCCCTCTCTCCATGAGCCCCTTCCCCTACGGCCTTGCAGTGTCCGGCCTTGTGCCTGGCTCTGGGAATCCTGAGTGCGAGTGCCCACTGCCAGGGACTGAGCATCTAAAAGGAGAGAGAGAAAAGAAGCAGATCACTGGGTGCTGTGAGTCAGGAACCGCCCGAGACAGGAAGTCCTCGGGACGTGAAGAGGATTCTAACACAGTTAGGTTCCTAAAAGAGCTACAGAATGGAGCTGATTCCTTTATTTGTTTGGTAGTACTGGCAGTTGAACTCAGGACCTTTGCACCAAGCCTTTCTCTCTGTCTCTGTGTCTATCTCTGTCCCTGTCTGTCTCTGTCTTTCTTTCATCATGGGCTTGACAAGTTGTCCATACTGGACATGAACTTGTGCTTCTCCTGCCTCAGGGCCCCCTCTCCCCTGTGCTGGGATTACAGATGTGCACCCGCACACACCGGCTTGAACAATGCTTTTATGCATAAATGCTGTACACTATTAGTTATCTGTTGGTGTCTAACATCTTGCCACAACTACTAGTGGCTAAAAACAACCAGCATTTATTATGTTTCTTTTCTTTTCTTTTCTTTTTTTTTTTTTTGGTCTTTTCATCT